TACTCTGGCATTTAAAGTTTCCTATTCAAAAAGCTTTAAATGCAAATTTTAAATATATATTCTTCTAAATCAACTCTTTTATGTACTTCAGAAGATTCTCTATAGATTACCTTTCTCTCAAAGTGGTATTTTTTCATCGGGACAATTGAAGATGGGTCTGTACTGCCCGAACTAGTTTCCTGTTGAAGTTTAAGCATTTGTTTTATCCTCCCTCTGTCATTTATGTGATTAGCTGGTCTTTAGAAAACAAAATCTGAACGTCATGCTGCTTTAAATAAGGAAAAAACATTCCCACTCTTCCAAGTAGCCCCTGTTTGCATTAAAAAACAGAGTAATCTGTTTGGATCAGACTTACCAAAACAAACAGTGTACTTTGGATTAAAAACCAAGGGATGGTAAATTTGCTTCAGAATTAAAAAGTCCCAAGTAACTGGAAATTATGACTTCATGGTGTCTATTAGACTATCTGAGCTGCCACAGAGCATATCTGGGGCATATTCTTCCTGTGAGTTAATTGTTGCAATTTGTAATGGTCATCTTCTGAGCCCTCCAAATGTCAGCATCCTGTTTACTTGCTTTTAGGCCCAACAGTTATTATATTTTATGTCTCCAGTTTGTGCTATTGGAAGAATGTAGCCTGTGATATGTAGAACGGATACCTCCAGCTGACACTGAACACTGATTTACAGTTCTTGATTTGTTGGATGAAGATGTTATGTACAGTTACCAGGAAAGCAGAAATAACATATTTGTCAGTGTATGCAGGAGAAAGGGACAAAAAAAAAAAAAAAAAAAAAGTGCAGCTTGAAATAAATTGGAATATTGCTGATATAAGTAAAAAATATGGTTTATTTCTGAAGTTTGTTCTAGGATTAGTGGTAACTTGTCTCTTCCAGGAGTTGGCCAGCAATATTGGTAGCGATACCTTTTGGGACATGAGGTGCACAGTTTATTTCCTGCGTAATTTTAGGGATGGTTTATGTATACATTTATATTTGGCATTCTGAATGACATATGAATGTGCAGCTTGCTACCATGTTGTATGAAATGAGAAGTAATGCCCATGGCATGGGTGCTGTTTACAAGGCCCCTCTCTGATGAGCAGAAGTGGTTCTCTCCTGCATAGGAATGAGCATAATTCCTGAAATGCCTGGGTTTGCTTTGCCCACACCAAATGACTTCCTCTGATCTTTATTAACTGAGTGCATATTCTTGTTTGACATGCAAATACATTACAGGCTGAGATTGAGGTCTGTATTAAGGCCAAATAAGTGCTTTGTATATGTTACGTCAAACTTATGAGGGGAGTTTATTACTGTTTCTGGGAGCAAGATAACTTCTTGAGAGACAGAAGTTATGCACTTAGTTCTGTTATGCTGAAGGAATGACACTGAACAATGCATTACTGTGAGTTTTGTCTCCATTTAAAATGTCTTCTATCCAGTGTATTGAAGGAGAGGCTACTTGGAAGATGCCATTCCTGGAGCTCTTTTCTCCATTTGGCCATGTCTTTGGGCTATTACACCCCATTAGAAATTATCTGAATATCTTTATTGTGTCCTAGTGTTTGAAGTACACAGGAGCATACTTGTAGTTACTTGCTAAGTTTTAATCACCTAATGTTGGTGATTAAAAGTAAGTCAAAGCAAGAGTACTGTCTCTCTTTAAAAAAAAAAAAAAAGGTAGTGGTCTTCTGACATGTCACTTTCACAGAATCTTTTTGCCAGTAAATTAAGCAAATGAGTTATGTTTGCCTGTTTTTTCAGTTGCATTCAGTTTTCATGTTTTTCTTCCTTGTCTGCTGCATCTATGTCCATCTCTCTCCTCTTTGTTGGGTCCTAAATATATATACTTGCTCCCATGCAAAGGCTGTGATGCTGCATGATGGTTGCTGCCTCTCAGATCTGTTTAAATTCACCTGGGGAAAAGGAGTATTTGTGCTGGGTTCAGTGCATCCCTGTCTTGGCTATGAGGTGCTATAATAATAAACTACCACAGTAAACAAAAAGTGGGTTTGCACTACTTCTCTGAAAATACCCACAGCACAAAGTACTTCCAACAGTCAGTGCTTGGTGTCCTGACCCAGAAACAGCCCTCAGTACAGGGAGGGGACAGGGAACTCTTACAAACATAGAAGTGGATGGGTCTCTGCCTCAGCATCTGTATAGTACTAATCCTTCTCTCTCTCTCTTTTCTCCCACCCTTAATTTATTTTTCTTCCTTAAGCTAGTAAGATTAAGCTACATTGCAGTCTTCTGCGGAAAGCACTGTCTTCTGCTGGCAACATCTGAAGCTCAGCAAAGAAATGTTTTGGAAATAAAAATAAACAGCAGCCACTGATCTCAGAACAAGCAAGGTTTTTTGTCTTAGACCACAAGAATATCAGCATACCAGCTTGTGTTAACATGGAGGAAAAATAGGCCTAGATGTACAGTTACCTGTAGTCCTCAGAGGTGAAGCCAGCTTGAAAAAACAGGACATGTGAAAACAGATCACTGCCCTGTGATGTGACACTGTGACTTTTAAGATACACACCCAGCGACTTTTGTATGCTTAAGGTAGCAACAGTAGTGGTAGAGGGTGTGGTGGCAGGTGTGTGTCAGTGTTTTGCATCATGCTGCGCACATATTTGTGTGGCTTGAGCTTTGAGGATTCAGCCCCCTCACTGGGATCTGTGGAGCTAGTTAAAAGAATGGGTCAAATTAAATCCTGTAGCGTAAAGTCAGTGCGGATTTGGGTGTATCAGCTTCTCAGTCACTGCCCAGGAACAGTGCTGGCATAAAGTGTCAGAATTGTGGCTTGGACAAGCCCAGGAGAGCCTGTATTAGATGTGCCTAAAGGGCTGTGGGACAACGCCGCAGAGTTGAAGCACACCGGTGATCTGAGTTCACCCATTTTGAGGTTTCTATGATTGGAACCTAAATTTAGCACAAACCCACATTGACTAATTTTAACGTTCTGCTGCTGCGTAAGGCTCTGTCTAGAGTTAAAACAGCATCGGTGATCATAGCTGAGGCTTGCCTTGATTCTCTAAAATAGTACTTGGACTTCAGGTCTGGGTTTTTTCGTCACTAGATGTATTAATACTACAGTGCTGAAGGCACGTATTTTGCACTGTCTACCCTTTGTGGTTTCCATCACAAGATATTCTCTTACTGTGGTTAAATGTGGCTCTCAAAGCAATGAGCTGAGCCAACTCTGCAGAGCTCTTTAACACCTTAAATAATCTTTTTGCATTGCAGTGGGCTGTGACTGCACTCCTGTGCCGTGCGGGCTGAGGCGCAAGCAGAGCAGTTGGCTGGCCCTGGTGGCTGGTGTGTGATGCCCATGGGCACTGCTGTTTGACAGCACCAGAGCTGGGATGGCTGCATGGACGTTAGGATGACATGGTTCCAAAATGCAGTAGTAATCACTGTAACCTGTACTTGCATGGCTATAGAGCTTTTAGCCTGCAAAGCACCTTGAACTGTGCTGTAGGCTGTCCCCTATGCCTGTAACCAGATCTTCAGGTGTGTGTGGGGGGAATCTGGTCAAGGGAATGGTTTTGAAACCCTCTCAACAACAACATAGAATTCCAGAATCACCTAGGTTGGAAAGGACCTTGAAGCTCCTCCAGTCCAACCATGAACCTCACCCTGACCGTTCCCAACTCCACCAGATCCCTCAGCACTGGGTCAACCCGATTCTGCAACCCCTCCAGGGATGGGGACTCCCCCCCTGCCCTGGTGTTTTGCCAATTACCAGGCCTAGCATGAAGGACACAGCCAGCATAAAGATGAACCAATAACCAAATTGTATTTGATACAAAAGGGTCAGTACGTGGGTGAGTGCTGGGGTTACAAATAAATCAGATTATACAGAATTGACATCAATCCCACTGACCCCAGCAACGACACCACATGACCAACAATGGGTGGGATAAATGGTGACATGCAGTTTCCTATAGAAGGGGCAGAAAACAACTGAGTCAACAAACCAAACACATAAGACCAAGGAAGCCACACAGTGAATCTCTGCACAGCCCGCGTTTACAAAAGCCAGAGCTGACTGGAGCCCAGTCCCAGGAGGCGGGAGGTCCTTCCCTAGCAGGGAACTCTGCACAGGGCACCCACCTCACAGACAGACACTGCCCCTGCCTGCAAGGGAAGTGCAAGGAAGTGCCCCTTTGGGAAGGGCTATGGGAATCACCCATATGTAAACCTTAATTTGGGGGTGGGGGTTGAAACCCCAGCATTTCACCTGGGCAGCCCATTCCAACATCCAGCAACCCCTTCTGCAAAGAAACACTCCCTGATACCCAGTCTAAACCTTCCCTTGTGCAACTTGAGGCCATTACCTCTTGTCCTGAAAACTGGTGGCAGCCGTGCGATTCTATTGCAGATAGTATCCAAGGCTTCGTTCTAATGCAGCAAAGAATTACTCCTTTAGGAATACAGGCCAGCTTCTGTTCTCAAACTGTTCTTCCTTTTCTACAGAATTTGAAAAAATATGTTAAAAGTGTTAAAGCAAATGAAAAGATATAGTTGAATTGTTCTTTGTTTATTTGATGTAGTTACAGGATGAGTTGTTTTGGAGGAAACAAGGAAATACTATCCAGTGTGAGCTTGTATACTTCACCTGATATAACTTAAAAAGCCTCAGATACACGATACAGTGTAGTAATCCTATCCAGTCTTGGATCCAGGATGGGAGAACACCCTTTTCACTAAATAGACTTCAAGGCTAACAATTATAGTTTAGATTTTTATGCAAGTTAAGCCATAAATTATTCTTGGAGTTGATGCATCTTTTCCACTGGAAAATTTGAAAGAAAGGATACTATTCATTTAGGTTGGACTGTGATAATTATCATCTTCATCTTGTATGTTTTTAAATGTAAAGTAGAAATCTTAAACATATGAAAACAAAGACTGTAAGAAATTATAATTATGGGACAATAGGAAGTATAAAATGAATGTTTTAAACTGATGATCTCTCCACCCCTCCTTAATTTATTTCAGGTTTATGACTCCGACTGTTGCGACAGCATTCTTCTGGAGCTGCGGGAATATCTGCCAAAATACTTCGGTGTCTGGTCACCACCTACTGCACCAAATGGTACTGTTCTAATTTTATCTGTTAATCCAAACCTCCTGGAATAATCTTGTGGAGAGTGATTTTTGGCAGTTGCAAGCTCCCTAGGGTTTTTTTGGAGGGGTTTTGTTTTGTAACCCACTAATGTTCTCTCTAACAGCTTATTCCAGCTTTCAGTCCTCTGGCTGGATTAGGTTTTTGGGGTCTTCCTGCCGGAGAAGATGGGGCATGACCGTTTGTATGGCAAACGTTTCCTGAGTAGCTGGGCCTGATGCAGATTGCCCTGGAGCTGCTGCTGTGGTCTGGGTCGTGTCTGGTTGCACATTTGTCTGGTCAGGCCATCAGAGCAAGAGATGGGTTCTGTGTGGGTGTGTAAGGAAGAAAAACTGAATGGGTTGGGGCCTAAGGGGAGATGTTCAAACTGGAATCTGCTGCTGGATTTTCAGAGTTTGGACCCCATTCTCATGCCACATCATACAAAGCAGTTATTTCAGCAGGTACCTTCCTGGGCAGCTCTGCTTGTCACCTTCTGTTACTGGGTTGAATGAAACAAAGCTCTGATATCTTAACTTTGCATTTGTATAACATGTTAGGAGTCAGGAAAAAAAAAGGTATTTTGGGAGGACACTTAGAAGGTTGTCTGTTCAAGAGAAAATAGATATTATTGATGTTTTTAAAACAGAAACTATTTTTTCTTGTGGGGACTCTTCTTATTCACACTTGGGAAATGGAGCTTTTGGAACATATGGAAACAAAAAGATGCCATCAAATCTATTTAAATATATGGGCACCAAAACTAGATTCTTTGCTGCTTTAATATAACTCTGTCTTCTTTTGCTTATGCTGTCACTTGATAATCTTCTTTTCCAAAGAGGGTGGTAAGACAGTGTCCAAAGACCCTGTCTAAACTCTGCAGAAGGAAATACAAGGAGGATTGTGGTAGTACCCACCACTTTCTTCATGCAGACTTGCCTTCACGCTTTCATGTTTGGCACTAACTCAAATAGCTCTACCGGAGCTATCTTTTCCTTCCTTCATAATTTTATGTGTGTCGTGGAGCTCACTTAATGGCCCCTTCAAATTGCAAATCAATTTTTTTCTGTTCACAGTAGGATCTTAAGATGTAAAAATATGTGGTCCAGCTGAGGTACGGTAATTCAACACATCCTAGTTTACTTTGGGAATTCACTAGCACTGTGCACCATGGGGCTGAATTTTGGCAGGTCTCCAACAGTGGTCCAGACATAGTCTGTAGGAATAACCCTTTAAAGGAAGAGTAACTTTTGGTTTTCTTTGTTTTGCTTCTTGAAAAGACTGTGCACTATCAGGAGCTCTATTCATAGAAAGCTATGGTGGGGGTTCAAACAAAACACTCCATTGCCAACCCTGTTATCTGTAGCATTCATGAGTTTTGTGTAGTCTTGATAGCAGTCAAATACCTTGGAGATGATGGAGCTTAGCAGAACATGTGCATGCTGGATACATGCAAAGTTAAGGAGGTAGCCATTCATGTTCAAAGTCATCTGTTGTTTAGCAGGTATTTGCAAATACAGTTTTGCTAATGCACATGTGAAGGAAAACCTCTGTGATGCATTTGTGTGTGTGCATCGGTGCTTGGCACCAGGGGTGAAAAGAATCAGCAATGTTCTGTTTAGACTGCATTAAAAAGTAGGAAAACAAGTTGAGAAAAATAAAGAGGAGGGGAAGTAATCACACAGAGGGACATGGAGAGGCTGTTTTGGGGAAATGGGGATGGGTTTGTTACCTGTCCCCCCAAATTAGCTGTGGATCAAGCTCTGGTAAAAGATTCAGTGGTATGTTCAACTGCTGTGGTGTGTCCCAGTGACATTAGATGAGGGAATCTAGCTGCTAGAAAGGTGTCAAGTTTTTAAATATAGATTGAGGATACATTTGTAGCATTTTGCCATCTTGACATTGGAAGTCTGACCTTACCTTTGGCAGTCATTGCTCTACAGACTGGAGACACAGCTCAGTACAACCTCAGAGTAGTGAACCCAATAATTTTTAGAGTGTCTGTGTGGAGAAAACAACAGCTCGCCTGTTTGGCTAGGGCAGAGAGTGGAGGGCCGTTGGTGACCTTGTTTAATATAAAGTTCTTTTATTTGTGCGATAAGTAAGAAGGAGGACTCTGGTGAACAGTGTCTTGTATGTGTAGCATCATGGTTTTTATCTTGGGTAGAGGGTTGAGAGTTTGAGTAGATTCATACAGACATGAAGAGAATTTTAGGCTTGTGGTAGGAAATAAAACAGAGTAACTTAATTTAGGGCCACTGTGAACTTGATCTGTGACCATCTCTGAGTTTCCACGTGACAGCTGAACAGGCACTGCTGTGGGTAGGGTGGAGAACACAAGGAATTTATTTCCTCAGAGAAATATTTAGGGAGAAGCATCAGTCTGGTACTACTGCACAGGGGACAGTTAGGCGTGGGTGACATCTCCCTAAGCTAATCCAAAATTGGAGTTAGACAATTTAATTTGAACCTTGGGTTCACTAGCATTGTGGGCATTTGGAGTTTAATAATAAAGAAGTGGAAAAGTTGATATAAAGATACAGGAGCCATGTTAAGCTTTTTATATTTTCTGCTGAGAGTTCTGTGTTTTTGCTGCCTACTTGTTGACCCTGCATATTCTTTTTAAGTAACTTCACTGCTGCTCATTTCATACTGTGCTCTAATTTTTGTTGCCTAAACTGAGAACAGAGTAGATAAATATAAGCCAGCTTCAAACCTTTCTTTTCTTCTCTTGTTGCTGGGAGCAACTGAGGCTTTTCCCTGCTTATTCATATGTTTTGAGAGATGTCTTGGAAGTTATGAGAAGTAGTCAGATGCCTCAAGTTGTTTTGTCACTTCTGATCTCAGTGAGGACTGAATGCATCAACATGTGCGTGTTGAGGTCTGCAGTGGTTCATGCCATGCATACTTGCTGAATTTTGGTCGTCTTTTGGTTTGTCTCCTTTAGGACTGTAATAAAATATGTAAATAGTATGCCAAGCCACATCTTCCTGCCTCCTTCCCTGCCACTGAAAAATAGAGAGGGGGAGGGCAAGCCTCTGAGGAATGATTTGTTTAAACCCATGAAATATATAGTCAGGATTATTTACCAAAGCTAAGATACAAAATTCTTTTCTCTGCAGGGGATTTTAATTTAAGATGGTTTTAGATGGCAAATGCATGATTTTCAGAATCATGTTGTATTAGCAGTGTACTATATAATTAGAAATTCTGAACTGTTTAAAAAATCTGCAATTTTTTGTTTAACAAAGCAAAGAGAGGAAGGAGAGTGCTCTAGTTATCTTGGCTCAGCTGCAGACTTGTTGGTGACCTTGAGAAGGACACTTGGGGTCATCCTCAAAAGACAATGAGAGCACCTGACTTGAAAAGGTAGAGCAGTGATACCTACCAATGTCTGAATGCCTTTCTGAATTAGTCTAAATGCTTTGAGATATTTCAGGCATAACTGGTGAAAGTTGTGATATGTTTCGATACTGTGGGTTTGGGGTCTGTTTCAGTAGACCATAGATCTTGATCATAATGCAAATAAGAACGAAACAGTGCCAGGAAAAACAAAGCATGAACACTTGATGCATTTGTCTGAATCTGTAATGAGAGGAAAAAAACCCAACTTTGTATAATGCTTTATCTGTGGAGGCATTGCTCTTCCTGCAAGGACAAAAAGAATGGGGGTGTGCATTGAACAGATGTAACGTAGTCTTAATTCTGAACCAGCAGTTAGCTAACGATGAAGATTTAAATAATAATCCCAAAAAGTGTGAGAGATGAGTCATTTCTGGATAATTCACAGGCTCTGCCAAGTAATTAGTATTTCCCAGGGTTAGTGTTATCTCTTCAGTTATTTTAATGCTTTTTTTTACTTTTTAAATAGTAGTTGTTACATTTTTAGGAGGTCAGTAAGGGAAATATTCTAGTTTAACAAATCTGAAATGGATGGGGAACTAAAATGTGACAGATACTTAGAACATTTAAAGAGGAGGTGCTGTAGGCTTAAAAAGAGGGATTTGGACCAGTGGAAGAGAGGACAGTGGATAACCAGGGGTGCTCTGCAAATACCTTTGATGGAAAGAGCATGACTATCTTGCCTGCATGTTGTCTGAAGGGAAGTATGCTAGGTTTTGGGAGATTCAAGTTCTGCTTTTTAAGCTTGTTATTTTTACGGGTTCACTGTTTGTTGCATTGTGGAAATAGATAATTTTACGCTACTTCATATTCAGTTATATTTTAGGGTTGATAGAAACACTGCATCTAAGCAATAGATATAATTTGTGGGTAACTTGCAATTTGTATAATTCTGTATTTGTAACAGTTTGAGTCCGGAGGTGCTCACAACATAATCCAGAGCATTTTGGAGTTGGTGGTGAAGGACCGGAGCCGTTTTCTGAGATGTTTCTGTATTTATTTTCTTTCTCCACCTCCTATGGCTTACCTCTGGCTCAGTGCTTTTGAGAGCTAAGTACTGAAAACCTTCAGTTTATTTTAGTTGTTGTTTTCTGGATTGTTTTAGAGAGGGACATGAATCTATTGATTACAGTGACTTCTGTAATATGCAAAAAGGATAGGTGTAAAGGATAATGCTTTGATTTTTTTTTTTTTTTACTTTTTTATTTTTTAATAATTTTTGCTTTAATAACAGATAGCTAACAGGTTATATGGTCTTGTCTGGACTCAGCAGTGGTTCCCCAAAGCCCTGCTGTGCTCATATGTGACTGCATTAGATCAGTGTATAAAAACTTTGTTTAGAAAAGATGGCACCTGCAGTTCAGATGATACAGATGTACAGAGTACAGTTCCCAGTAGGGAGAGTATTTGTCCCACTCCTCCTTAGAGGGTATCTAGTGAGCACAGACTATGTTGGCTGCCTGTGGCTTGTCAGAGTTTAGTTTGAGTTATTATTAGCTTGGATATCCCTGCAGATGTAGTTAACAAACCTGGTCTATGGGTGAGCTAGTCTATAATGAAACTCTTTTTGCTGTAGCTAAAATTGATTCTGTAGTCCACAGGGCATTGAAAAGTGCTGTAAGATGATACAGTGAGTTAGTAGAAGACTGGATTTTTTTAGAATAGTGTATTGATTTGACAAGCTTTCCTGAGAATGACTCTACATTAACAGTATGTTTGGTCCCACTTACACGTAAAGCAGGCTTCTAAGGATTTAAGTCAACTCTATTTCAGATTGATACATAAGTACTTTGGGAATTTGGGACGTTTGATCATGATGGTGTAAAAATTGAAGCTCTAAGTAGGACTTATTAAAGTAATAAAAGTCCTTTCCATTGCTTGTTACCTGTCTGTACAGCTACCAAAACAAGGTACTTTGTCCCTCATCTCTCTTTTTAAACTTCAACTGTTTTTGCTTTCTTTGGCAATCCCATTTTAGATCATGCTGCAAGAATGGGGAATAATAATGGGTTTTGTGTATTCAGAATGCTTTAAAGCCAAAGACGTACACTCATGGAATAGGCTGTACATGGAAGAAAAACAGACTTTAATGTGAAGTTTGTGGCTGATAACTAGTAGATTTGCAGAAGCTGAGGTGAAGAATGAGACCTGTGCTATTGCTCTGTGTTGTCTGGGTGCATATCGTACCCTGGCAAGGGTGGGAGAGCTGTGCAAACTTCCTCCAAGCAGAGCTGTCTGCAAGTCAAACAGTTACTGGAGTTTGTTTTCCTGTGTTCTGGCAATCTTTGCTGTAGATCGTGTTGGTAATAGTCTCTTAGCCTCACTAGAGAGAAGCATAAACCAGTTTGACCAGGTTTTAGATACTACTTTAAATCTTCAGGCACTCCAAGGGCTTGGGGATTTTTGGTCCACCCACCCATCCTCCCAAAGGGACTTTGGAAATGGATGAAAGGCAGAGTAGGGTTTGAGGAGTGTTTTCCCCAAAAGGTGTGCTGTGAGAAATGACTGCAGATGGGAGTGGGATAAAAAGAAGAAAAATAAGATGCATTTTGGCCCTGGTAGGGTAGGACTCTGAAATGTTAATTTAATTTTTTAAATGGCACAAGGAAAAATTGCTCTTTTAACTCTAACCCTTTCACACATCTCCATTGCAAAACCAGCCATGTAGTAACCTGCATTTGTAGTGCTTATTAATGCTATTTGAAGTACATTAATTCCTTAATAAAAGCTACTCTTGAATTTCATCTGGGCAATAATTTGAATTTGAGTGCTAGGTTAGCACACATAATTGTATACAATTTTCTAAACAATAAGGCATTTAGAATTTAATGCCAACAGAATTTGTGGGTATCAATGATCATGATTTAGTTTGAGACAAATTTGACTCTTAAAGCACACGTGTGATATTAAGCCTTAAATTATTCTCCTTCCTCCACAGAAGCTTAGCAAAAACTATATAATTATTTTGCTTTGACCCACTGTTTATGAAAGTTTTGTCTTTTTAACAGATACGTATCTAAAACTGGAAGATGTGACCCGTAAGTTTAATAAGCCTTGCATAATGGATGTAAAAATAGGTCAGAAAAGTTATGATCCGTATGCTTCAGCTGAGAAGATACAGCAGCAGGTCAGCAAATACCCGCTGATGGAAGAGATTGGCTTTTTGGTACTGGGCATGAGGGTAAGAACTTGTTTTGTTTTCAAATTCAGCTTATGCTCTGGCCTATTGTCCCACAGCAGATACAGCAGCTAGTTTTTCTACCAAATGGCAATCCTCTCGACTTTACATGAATGAAGCATTACCCGAGTATGTTGGTAGTGCTGGTATCAACTGTTGTGTGAAATATATTCCAAAACCCTGCTCTTGTTCACAAGAAATGTTCAACTTGGCTGTGTACCTTCTGGGAATCTATGGGCAACCTGGATTTTGTATATGTGTACAGGAAAGGAGTTGGACAGACCATAGTTATTAAAACTGAATGTAGTTGTGATTAATTCTTCTCATGTAGCAGATATTTCAAATTATCAAAGTGTTTTTTTGACTTTTAGGTTTATATCAGAGATTTGTAAAACGAGCTGTATCCTCTCCAAATTTTTCATCTTGATTTTTCAAAAAATAAATACAGTTTTTGTGGGATTTTTTTTTTTTTTTTTCTTCTATTTTGGAAAGAGTAAGTTATCTCTCCAAGGTGGTGCATGTAGCTATAAATAGCTGCTTACTTTCTTCATTCAAAAAAGCTTTTCAACAGAAGAAAACCGCTTTGCTTATACTCTTGAGGAACAACTGTCAGTTGAAGGTTAGTTTGAGATGGATAAAGCCCTGCAGATGTCTGTACTAACTCTGTTACATTTCCTAATCTTGGCTGAGGAGAAAGATGAAGATACAGTGCTTGTGTATTGGCTACTCTAAAATGTCAATGTAAAGAAAAGCTGCACAGAACATTTATGGATCAGTAACATGAATGTGTTCATGTCAGTAAGGAATTCCTGATGCAATGCATTTAAAGTACTTTTTTCTGCTATGATTGGTGCAGGAATAATTTTTGGTTTGATGTGAGATTTTTGTTTTCCTTCTCACATGCACGGAGCGAGGACTTCTCAAGCTCGGCATCAACAAGCATAAATGGCTGAAGACTTTGATAAACTTCCCCTTTGCTGTTAGACAGCAATGGTACACAGATTGCACCATTGTTTGAAATAATTCTAATATCTCTGTAATGTTTTGTACTTAATCGCCCAGGCTCACAGCCTTAACTCTGTCCTGAGATAAGCTTCTACAGCTATAAATTATAGTGGTCATGAGTGGTAATTATGTAAGCCTGTGAGAGAGAACGTGGGAGTTGAGTCAAAAACCAGTCAAACAGTTTAGAACGAGAAGAAAGGCTGGAGATTATAGCTTTGGATTTGGCTTATGTCGTTACATAACCTTTCTTATCTCATATGTAGAAAAATGCGCTTCACATCCTTTGTTTCATGACAGTGCAAAAGAAATGAATGCTTGCTTCCACAGCATTTTTGCTTGTGACTGTTGTTTCTAACATTGTCATTTATTGGTATCTTTATCCTGTTGCAGAAATTCTTTCGATTCCCTAGTTCAGACTGTAGGTATAATGATGGTTCCCCCAAGCATTGCAGTTTCCTATCTGGTGTTTAACTAGATGAGATTTGTTTTCTGCCTTTGGTACCAAATTGCATGTTGGAAGTTATTTTCCAAAAAGAATTGCGAAAGGTTCCTTCTCCCCTCATGCAACACTTAGCAAAGACTAAATTCACAAGGCATTTTCTCTGCTCCGCTTGGAGCCTCTTGATTAGAGGCTGCTCTCTGCCTGTTAGCTTGCTTTATTTCTGCAGGATTCTGGCCATAATATGAAACACTCTCCTGTATGGGCATTTGCTGCCTGTAACAGCTGACATGCTGGCTAAAGGTTGTTAGTGTTTGCTGGACAAAAGTTGGTATAACACAATTCAGGAAGTAGAGGGTTTGGGTTTTAATTTCTCCTTTCAGTGTTATTTTTAACGTGGTGGTGGGTTTGCTTATTTTCTATTTTAGAAGAGCAAGAAAGAGGGCCAGGAAAAATAGAAAATGGAGTTATCTGGGGTTTTTTAACGCACGCATCATAGAAGCTGTCATGAAGAGATACAAGCAAGAATGTGTTATAGGTGGGGGGTTTTACCCCAAGGTTTATTTATGGTGAGTTTTTACACTAAAAGCCACTGATAACAGCTTTTTTTTAATGCACTGGTAAATAAGCAGTCAGCTGTTTTATATATAAAATACGTGTGGTTTGTTATTAAAAGAAGCGAGTCTCCTATCTGGCAGAACTTTGATTTATGTACCTAGTTCTGGTATTTGACATGTGCTAAACTATATTAATCTACTGAATAGACACTAAATGCATGGAAACACATCTAGAAAATAGTCTTTTCAATAGCATTGGTTAAAAACCCCATTTCATGCTTAGTGGAGAGGTTCCTTTCTTTAACAGATGAGGACGTTGATTTGTTATGAAAATAGTGAGAGTTGAAATATAAGTGGGAAAACTAAGGTATGGTTCCAGTAGCAAAAGTACAAGTTGCAATATGGTTTCAGTAGTAGACATATAAATATATAAGTAACATCTTTGCAGTATTAAAAATAGAATATTCTGTATGCTGTTGAATGCGAACAGAATGTGTGGGTTGTGATCTCATTTCGGATTCATAATCCATTCAGAATCCACAATTCCTGATTTCTGCAGGTTTTCTTTATCTTCCAGAACATCCTGATTGCAGTATCACATAGTCTATAATATTTCTGAAATGTGTTTTTAAAGCACAAACTGGTGATTACATAACTTTACCAGTATAATCCATCACTTACTGTTTGTGCCTATGAACTATTGCATGCAATAATGCGGATACCTCATCAAAGCTGTTTTTACAAGTGAATTTCCTGATCTACAGCATATGTTCCTGGAAGATATTTTAAAACTGACTATAGCTGAGTCTGTTATATGAGTTCTTTTTGAACCCTTACTAGTATTGTGGTAATTGTCAAAAGCTCTGATGTGTTAACAACAAGATTTAAGAAGGGAGGAATAATAAAGCTATTAAGTCCTGCATCTGATGTTCATATTCTTCCACAGTAAAAAAATGACCAGAACTGTTTTGTTTTTTTTTTTTTCATTTATAAGTCTAATTCAAGCTTTGATGTTTAAGAAAACAGGAAGACAAAAGAAAACCTAAAAAACTAAAAAAACCCAACCAAAAGCCCTGGGAAAAAACCCACCCTCCAAACAAGCAATTCCTGCCCCCACCTCCAGTCTGGAAATAGATGTCTGCAGTGGTTGAAATGAGCAGTAAACCAAGGCTCTGCTTGGTTCCTCAGTGCTGGCTTTGTTGCCTCTGTGTCACCTCTGTTTTTCTCTCTTTCCACTTTCACTCCCTGGTTCTTGCAGTTGAGTTTGGCTCATCTCTTTCTCAGTCTGACGGAGCCAAGTCCGTGCTGTTCAACTGAGCACAGCAGCTCCTCAGGGTCTGGTATCAGCTGGGGGGATTGAAGGTTATGTCTCAGAAATACTTCATTTGTAGAGTTCAGAGATTCCTCTGTCATCCTCTTGGGCGAGTTCTAGCAGAGCAGTACCCTGGTATTTTTTATCATCTCTTCTTCCTTACATGAAAGACTCATGTATATGACAGCTGGTCCACTGGTGGCCTTATGGCTGATAAGTTTTCCTGTATGTTAGGAATAAATTGATGATGGATGAGATTTCCTCCCCCCCTTTTATATATAAAAAGGAGGCATGAAAGAAAATTAATTCTAATGAGGTGCTGCAGGGAAGTTCTGGTAGTCCAAAATTATGTATTAAGCCATTTTTGAAATGGTTCATGGTTTAACTGCTATGTCGTTGTGTCTTTTATTTAGGAGATTATTAGCCTGCTTTTTCACTGAATTAATTTCAACATAATTTCATTATACAATTTATTTATGTAAGGAACTTACTAAAACTTTATTGATTGTTAGAGCGTTTGGTGGTATACTTAATCATATAAAGCACTCTGTCAAATACCAGAAAAACCAAGGAGCAAACCAGATAGAATAACATGGAAGTATAGTCTTAGAAACGGGAGAGCAGGGGTGCATCCTCCCTGTGCTGAATTTTCAAGTCAGCAGCAAGCAGGGATGTGTGTACTGTCATCACTTGTGGTCTAGCAACAACATAAGTTGTTTTTGTTTTTAAAAAAAAAAAGGAAGGGGGGTGGCGATGTGCATTTAGATAAATGGATTTAGATAAATGTGCATGCTCTCAGCAGCAGTAATAGTGCTATGGCATTACTATAAAGCAGTAGTGTCAAATAAGAGAATGTATTTTAAAAAGTGTCTCCACTATTTTTTCCTCAAATTCTTGGTATACTTCATTTTCCAAAAGAATCCAAAAGACTTGTTAAAATGTAGTCTTCCACTGTGGCAGGATCAGTCCCTGAGAGATCACGGGAGTGCAGAGAAACCTGGGTTCTTCAGGCATGAAGAAAACCTCTGTATTTATACTGGGACAGTCGTAAAGTCCAGGCAGAATGTGCCCAGGTGTGGGTGTGGGTCTCAGCCTGGCTCTGGAGCTGCCCCCAGTGCAGGTGGGGGACTGGTGCTGATGTTGGGGGTCCTTGGGTTATCTGGGGTGCCGCCTCCTTCCACCCGCTGTCAGCTTGGCTCGGGTTTTGGCAGCAGGTCCTGACCTTCAGGTGCCAGTTACGAGTGCAGGGGTGCCTTGCTATAAACAGAAAACTCTGCGCTATATTTAAACAGTTGCTTGCTCTTACCTGTATGAATGTAAAATAGGGGTGACCGTTAAGTATATTTATGGAAAAAGTATGAGGGGTGTACAGCTCGGCCCCTTGAAGTCTGGATACGTTGGTGTCAGCCTGTGTGTCTCTCACCTCCGTGTCCTTGCTTGGAGCATTGTACGAGCATGCTCAAAACACACTTTTTCCCCCAGTTTCAGTGCTGTGGATTAGTTAATGTTTTTTTGCAGATGTGAAAGAACTCTGCAAGTTACTTAATAGAGATTTTTATTTGTGCTAGCAGCATCTCCACCAAACAGGCTAGTTTTAATTAATATGTGTTTAGATTATACTTTCTGGGACGTAGGGAGTTGTCACAAATAAGTATTTGAACAGTGTGTGTATTTTTCTGCCTCACCATGGAAGTCAGTACTGAATTACCGTAAATAACATTACATAACATCTGATATTTGTTTTCTTCAGTCTTCAGCTTAATGTCCTAAAGCTACAGGCTTCAGCAGTGAGATACACAGCTTGGAAATCTTGCAAGGGTTGTACTTGCTCCAGACCACACTAGACCTACTTTTTATTTTAGTTCAAGGTTTCCCTCAGTCCAAGGTGGCTAGATGAACCAACCATAATGGAAAAAAGGCCACAAAAATATGTGTGTGTATGCAAGCAGCAATAACTTAACACCTTATGGGGAAACAAAAGCCAAGTGTAGGTTGCGAATGTCAGAAGATAATTTACCTCAACAGTTAATCATCTGTTTTTCTGATGTGCTGCCTATACAGAGTCCCCACTACTACTAGTTAAAAAACTGAACCTGTTAGCATGCTGGATTCCAGTTCTGTTTATGTAGAAACCTCACGGAACAGGAGGTGCTTGTAGGCACAAGGAGGAGCCTCCACACTGTCACCCAAACCAGCTTGGATCTTGTGTATTAAGAATGTCTAAAAATCACTGATGAAGCAGGAGTTTTCTTGAAGGCAATGTTTTGCAGATCATATAAGGATTTTTCTTTGTCTTGCACTATACAGTGAAACTCCTTGTGAAAACAGAGCAGACACGTAACAAGCTGTGGCAGGTGGACAAGAAATGAGATTTTCCTCTCTAATAATTTCTTGGCCGTTGTTAAGGTTACAGATTTGACTTATTTGACTTGTCATCGTTTTGACAGAAACGGGCTAGTACAGACAGCTGCAACAACAGGGATACAGAAAAAGCTTGGTTCAAAGGCAAATACCCTTCTGGGAAGGGTTAGTAGCAGATGAGCAGTGGTGACAGCATGAACAAAAGCACGGTAAAGCGAGAGGCCCATAGACTAAGAAGTTGATTTTAATCTGCTACTACAGCACAGTCATCCCTGTGTTTTGGGCGGGTGGCTGAGGGTGAGGCAGGAACTCTTTTGAGCTTGGTTTTCTGTTCCTCTGCTTTCAGTATGGGGCTTAATATATTTGGATTTGGTTGAGGTTTTCCAGGAACAGTTCAAATAGTCACCTCCTTGCAGCTGAGAAAAGGTTTGAAGCAGCATTAAGAGACAGCTCTCTGGCTAACATGGAGAATACTTTTGTGATTACCTATGTATGTTGCCCTTTAATGCTATTGTCTGCAGCCAAGACTGTTGATAACCAAGGGAGTCTTTGCATGTTCACAAGATAGTTAAATATATACATTAAGCGGTTGGTATGTGTGTGGGACTTGGTAGTTTGTCACTGACCGTTTTGTACAGCTAAAAACGCACTGTTAGTGCAAAGCATGCACGTCTGCCTGGGTATTTTTAAACTCAAAAAACATTTGAGGGGGAATGGTTTTGTGCAAATTATGAGAAGAGGTAGGGTGACTTCGCAGGAAACCCAGCTCAGAAGCACAGGGGGCTTATGTGCTGCTCCAGTATTTCTTCTGAAAACAAAATGAGCTTGCAGATCTTAATCAGAATTTTTGAGCAAGTGCCCATGTCGCAAAAACTGTTAGCTCTTACAGGGAAGAGATAAGATTCTGGTAAACAGGATTGTTTGTTCAGGAGTGGGCTGCGGTGCTGGTGTATGGAGGAAGCTGCCCCTGGACTGACTAAATAAGAACACTTAATGTTATTAAAATGAAGATACAGCTTGTGAAAACTTGGATGTGGTCATCAGACTCTTGACCCTCTTCCAAAGCAATATATTTTTTTTAATTCTTGCTTTATTTATCTTTGGCTTGTTGCTCTTTAAATTTAGAAAGATTTTGAAACTTTTGTTGTGCTTTTGAAAATAACTTTGGTACCTGAAGGATTTACGTAAGTAATCTTCAGGTTCATATGTTGTAGGCAGTACCTCTTTTATGTGCTTTGGAAAGAAAGAAGTGGCGAAAATGATTATTTTTGTGAAACCAAAATCACACTTGTCAGATACTGTTTTAGAATAACTTGCCTCTGCTCTGCTCTTCTGCAACTTGAAGCTATCAGGACCTCAGTTTAAGTATCGTAACAGTGGAAATAGGAATCCTAGCAATGGGAAGTGTCTCTGCTACCAAGTGAGTTTAAACATTCAGGCTTAAAACTGTTATTTCTTTACAATAACCAGAATTATTTACTACCTCTTCAGTTCATGGTTGATGGCTTAGATCATAGCATGTGGAAACTGATGGGACCCAGAATTTAATTATTTCTATCTTTTTGTCAGAATAAGAGCTATTTGAGACTTTTCCCAGCTGCTTTGCAAAGCAGGAGTTACAGATCTGTGTTTCCATATTGAGCTTGTTGTGGTTTGGAGGGGGGGAGAGGTTTTGGGGTGTCAGGCTCCAATGAAAACAGGGGTTTCTTCTTTTTTTATTGTTCAGGTACCACTCCTTTTTATGCACTGATGTTTCACTGTCCTGGGCTTTTTCTGTAGACAAGAAAAAGACCCCAAAGGGGAAGGATCGGGGGCAGGTGTCTCACCAGTGTGCCCTGACTTGCTTTCTGTGGGATCCTCTCTTTTCATGGCGGGTGAAGGGAGGGCAGAGTGCTGCAGCCAGGATGGGTGCTGCAGGGCTGGGTGGTCTGAACAAGTGCCAAGCACAGAGTCTCTGCCAGAGACAACTGCCTGCTTGGTAACACCATTATTTCTGCAAATAAGAATTGTCTACACTCTCGTAAACAAATCATAGTTGGGCCTGGCTGGCTGGCACATTTCTGCTATGGAAATTATTTCAGTTAAGAGAGAAAACGTGTCTCTATGTAAAACTTTTTTGAATTAAGTTGTTAAGCTTGTACAATTCCTGATATGGGCAAAACTGTACCCATATGAGTTGCCTCCCTTTCAGGCAAGAGCTGATGTACCACTATCAGCTGGAACTGAGCTTTCATCCGGCCACTATCACTTACTTAGTGTAACCTCATTTGTGCCAACAATTATAGTTTCAGATGGGTCTCATAAAGCTGGGCCTTCCTGGTCACATCATAGTATTTCTTACTGTTTTGCTGCTGTGCTTATTTTTATAGTTTTAAGAACTGCAAAATAATTGCACTGAATTTCTGAGCTTGTTACTGTTATGTCTTACTGATTTAATATGCAGAGTAACATGGGTACGGGTATGGCAGTTTCAAGCCTTAGCATCGGTTTGCAAGGCAGGTGCCATATCACATGTTTTCCCGTAATGGATGTGTTGCTTTTTGCCAACATGATGATGTTTTTCTAATGCAGGAAGGCTGTAGTTTAGACCCCCGAGGTGGAAGGGGGAGGATTTTGCAGATCAGAGCACTAGAGGGCAGTGCCGACCGCTGCAACTACCTTAAACCTACGCCAGAGCTAAATGGTACCGAGTTTTGTAGCCTGTCTGTAAGGTGTCTCCTAGCTCTGCAGAAATATTGGTTGCTTGAAATAAATACAGAGTTACCTCTTTGTTTCTTGCAGGTTTACCATGTCTCTTCTGACAGCTATGAGACGCAAAACCAGCACTATGGAAGGAGCTTGACAAAGGAAACAGTAAAGGATGGTAAGGGAATTTGTGTGTCAGAATTTGGTGTTCTGGGATATTTTTCATTTATAAACGTATGGAACTGTATGGAAAAGGTAGTCTCTGTGTTCCTCTTTTTAAAAGTCCTTTTTTCTCCTCTTGCCAGATGGGTCTTTAGCCGTTTCCTGTATCATTTGAACTACCTGTTCATCCTAAATTAAGTTTGCAGTTGGCTTTAACAGCAGTGTAGTCCATAGGAATTTCTCCATCATGCATCTTTTACTACTATTAAGGGGCTGATAGTGATAGAATTCAGTTTCTTTGCAACTTTAAGACTATAATGAAATTGAGAACTTCTAGAAGTATTAAATGTTTTTATAATACATGTATATACACTTATCTCTAGTGGTATTCTGTGACTATATCCTGTCTTTTGTATTAGAAAGCTACTGTAAATGCCTCTTTCAGTTTAAGAGGCCTTCTTGGTTGAAGTCAATCAATACGTTGTTCTACATGAAAAATAAATAAACTACCATCATACAGCTGTTTGGTGATAACTATTTCAAACTAGTTATTAGTTGCCATCTGTTTATCTGTCCTGCACTGAGGGACAGAAGGACACATGCAGATACACACCCCTCTCCAGAGCTGGCACTCCCTTGTCAGCTCTGTCACTCATGATAAAGAGCTGCTTGAGCTTGTTTGTCTCTGGAGAATTGAATGGGCCCCTGCCCCAGACTGTCCAGATAGTCTCTAAAATGACCTGGGGGCCAGGAGCTGCGTTGTCTACTGTTTGATCGATACATTGATTAGTTAATTTTATTTACAATCCAAACCCAATCTGTAGTATTACATAGCAGGCTTTATACAGGTGAGGTGACTGAAGGTATCCGAGTTCCTTGATTGACTTTTTAGTTAGTAATTGTCTGAAAGGAAACTATGTGAATTCTGTTTCTTCAAACCATGAACCACTATCATCCCAAAAGAAATTAAAAATGTTTGTTTCTTTTTCTGAGGTGAGAATAATCCCAAAATGTGTCTGTTTCTTGCAGGCATCTCAAAGTTTTTCCACAATGGGTACTGCTTGAGAAAAGATGCGATAGCTGCCAGCATTCAGAAGATTGAAAAGATTTTGGCGTGGTTTGAGGGCCAGAAGCAACTCAACTTTTATGCGAGCTCATTACTGTTTGTTTATGAAGGTTCATGTCAGGCAACAACTGTGCGGTTGAGTGATGTCACCTTGGCAGAGAAGAGAGGAGTGCCCAAAGGGCTGTTATCAAGCGGAGACATACTGGAGTATAATAATAATATTCATGTAATAAATTCTACAGAGAATGGAAAAATTGAGGCCTCTGTAAGTAAAGGTTTGTCCAAATTTTATGCACTTCACAAAAAGGCATACTCGAAGAGGCACCACAGTCAACTCTCATTAAAAGTTGAAAACTTGGAGCAAGGCAACGTGTGGAAAAGCAGCACGTGCATTACACAGGAGCATCTGAACGGAAACGTTATACCCCAACTGGAAAAAGTTTTCTGCCACATGCCAGCAGAGATCAAGGAGAGTGCAAATGTGGAAGTCCGAATGATAGATTTTGCTCATGTGTTTCCTAGCAACACGAAGGATGAGGGCTACATTTATGGTCTGAAGAATTTAATCACAGTACTTCAAAATATTTTGGATAACTAAATTCTTTGCTATGTTTTTTACTGGGGGCCAATGATAAAGAAGAGCAACAACATGAAGAATTTCTGCACTTGTAATGCTGTATAACTGGGTTTGTATTGTTCTATATTTTATTTGTCTTTGTACTTTTGGTAGAAGGGTTTAACTTTTTATAATCTCACTCAGGAAAATAATTGATAGTTAATTAAGGAGTGTGAAAGGATGAAGATATTTGAGATTAAGCAGGATAGGTATATTAGTAGAACGAAATGTATATGGTTGGCTGAAGTCCAAGGAGTACAGTTGTAAAATAAGCAGGGGTTATGTTAGTTCCCGTAACGACTTTAGCGTAGATAACATTTGCCCACTTAGCCTTGACACTGAGCCGTATCTACATTAACAGGTTTTTAGAAAATGGACTGAAAACTCTCTTAAGGTGCAGGATTGATGTCCTCAGTACTGCCCCCTTGTGTTTACTGTATTTAAATAACTGGAGTTAACCCCACTTTGAAATCCCCTTTGGAGTCAGTAGTCTAACCTGGAAGCCAGTGTATCAAAAAGTGCTTGTCAGTGTCACGGGAGGGAGGATGTTGCTGTTTTTTCAGCCCCGGTGTGGGCACTTCCCCTGTCCAAGGCCGATGCTCACCACAGGCGAGCTACAACATGATTTGTGCTGGGGTGCTAAGAAAATGCTGGAGTAAAATATTGTAACAAGCTTACACTGCACAACTGCTAGGGAAACTGTTTGTTGCTAAGAAAGAGTGAAAGAATACAAATGCGAGATGTTCCAGGAACTAATTTGGTTTAGGAGGTTCAGTCTGTTAATGGAGTGTCTGATGTTGTGACTAAGGCAAATGCCTCACTCCTTTGTTCTGATGGCCCTTCTCCAAAAACATGGCTTTTAAAAGCAAACTAATTGAATGGGGAAACAAAGCGTTTTGAGTGGGCATACAGAGATTTCCTCTAGCTGTCGGCCGCTTGTGTTTTTGCAACAAGCGTTTCATGTTCCCACTGCTGGGGAGCACCAACTGGAAACGAGGAGCAATACAGGTGAAGGACCCTTCACTGCCAAGATCAAGTTCAGCCCTGGAGCAGCCAGATGTGCCTCCATTTGCTGCAGTGGAGTTGTGGCTCTTACCCTGGGCTAAACCCGGCTCTTTTTTTTTTTTTTTTTTTTTTTTTTTTTTTTTTTTTTTTTTTTTTTTTTTTTTAATGACACACAGGCAAGCTGTGTAACTTGAAAGTTGTCCCACATCCTTTTTCACAGGAAAAATTCAAGCTTTCATACGGAATTATTTGAGAGCAGGGTGATGTATCCAAGGCATCTTTGGTGTGTCTCTTCTGTATGCTGTGTACGTGGCTGTCCTACCATGCATACCTAGTCACCTATACGAGAAGTTGGGATGGAGGAGTCTTACCATCCGTAGAGCAAGATTTTAATGCTTTAAGCAAGCCCCAGAAGTAAAACTTTTTAGAATGGATGTGGTCATTGGAAGCATACATCTTTTATGTGTGGACTTAATGTGACACTGTGGCCTTGCTGCGCTCTCTGTGTGATGTTCTGCACTATGCACTCAACTTGTGTACACGTCTCTGCAAGTTCTTGATTTGACATCTGTTCCCTATATCAGAGAGAAATACTTTTTCAAGCAAATATGCGCTGTTTTAAGTGAAGCTGAAATTTTAGCTCTTATTTGAGAACCTGGCTTAATTGGGAGGAACAGGGTATTATGTGTAGAACTACATTGTTTAAACTTTAGAGCTAATATTGGCCAATAGACTCAAGAATGAAACCATTCTGTTAGTAACAGTTATTTTTGAAGCTTGGGAAAAAAACACTTGCAGGAGGGGCAGTATCATTTTGTTGAAAATTTTATGCAAATTATGGTGAAGGCTGAGGAAAAAGTATCAGGAGGAAAAGTATTTTTTCTCCTTGGTATTTCCATTGCACCATATAGTTAATATATTCCCAACTCTCTGTGAACTAATTTAAGCCATATTCTAGAAAGAGTTTGTGGTTTTGTTTACTTTGACACTGATTTCTCTGTTATGATTTTGTTCTATCCCATAAATAGTCAACACTAGAGTAGTCTAGGGGGATAGTGACCTCATATGATAAATTCACAATGTTTCATAGAAAATATGGGGAGAAACATTTATATATAAGAATTTTTGTCCTTTGTAATTCATCTCTTCTGGATTTTAATCCATTTTGTGCCGGAGAAGTCAAACATCTGCCTCAAAGAAGTCAGTTATTGGAAAATGATCTGTATGCTCTTAGTATAAGCGCCTTCTCCTGTCTCTGCTTTAAGATATATGTCTTCAGTGTTTGAATGCTCTTTAAGTATTGATTGTTGTGTTGACTATGGCAGTGTTTGTAATGCACCTGGAATATTGTTAAACTGTCAGAATATTTTTAATAAAAAAATAAAATAAAATAATTTTATCTGTTTTTTACCAGTACATATTATGGATGTATTTCTGTTAATTTAAAATGTAGCTTGAGAGATAACAGTATTTTTGATTGGAAGTTGTGTAAATAAAGCTTGCTGTAGAGGTGTTTTGGCATAGTACCAACTGTGAATTTAAGCCTGCAGAGGTGTCCTATTCACGTTGTTCTTGCGCATTTTAGATTCGGTGTTTCTAGTGTCTTGTATCTGATCAGATTGTATTCACAGAAATCATTAAACAGATTACAGAATTAGTGAGAAGATGAAGAGGGAGACACTGGTCCCTAAACGTATTCATTGCCACCCCTCTCCCTTCCTCCTTCCCAGTGTCGCCCGCACGAAGCGTGCAGGACAGGTGACAGTTACGTGGGAATCTTTATGGCAAGGGTAACTGGGCTTGTAGGCATTTCTGCCCGATCAGACTGAACGCAGGTCCCTTCCCCGGGCTGGTGTGGTGTGTCCGAGTGCTGCTGGGGGTGAAACCTGCCTGGTTTGACTTTAAGCAATAAGAGTTTGATTTAGCGGGATCAGTTGTCTAAAGGGAAGATTCATGGAAGTGTGGCCATTCGTGTACTCTCTGAGAATATACTTTTCTGAAGACTTTCTGCCAAGGTGATTGTGAGAATTGTGTATAGGCTTACTTAATGAGAGCTTGAATTGTATAAAGTTTTATAAAAAAGCATTTACATATATGGTATTTTTGGATATGGGTAGAATTTATTGCATAAATTACATTAGAAATTATACCATTATGAAATGTTTAAAATATTTTAAATCGTTTTATGAACTAAACTGACACTTGTACTGTTCTCTATTGTTTTCTGCTGTAATGCGTAGTCTGTTCTTTTCCATAACTCTACAGTTTCATGGAGAAGTTTTAAAGTATGCAGTAGATTAGGAAATCACTAATTCCCTTTAGTTTGATTAACAGAGTTGATACGTTCTTGAAATACTTCAGTGCACATGATATTTTAAGTAATGTTAGTGTATTATGCCTCTAGAGCCCCAGTAAAGCTTCCTCACCTGCAGGAGCTTCTGCTGGTCTGAGTCTGGATTATGTGGTATTTAAAATGGGCCTTTTCCCAAGTGACAGCAGCAGTGGTGAAGGGAAGGCATTGCCTGTGCTGGCCACGTCGGGCCCGGGTGGCTACAGCCTGAATTTGCAGATGGTGGTAATTGCTGATGTGAAGTACTGTCATGTGTAGGAAGACAGTGGAAGGATAGAAGCTCACATCCACTTCTGCTCTTTACAGTTATGATTAGTTGTTCATCCTCTCTCCTAATTTTTTTCTCTCCAAGTAAGCCTTCCTGAGTGTCTTCTTCAGCCCTTGCCACCGGTAATTTTCTGTGGCACCGTTGTGGAATTTTAAAAATTTTTACTTCCTAAAAACCTTACACCCCATAAATGCTGTTAAAGTGCAGGTATTGAAAAACACCATCAAAATGCCTCAAATACTGTGGGAAATGCAATTTCTGTCTTGTGCTTTTTCTCATGAAAGAGGAGGAGTGGGATGCCAGCAGGGAGCGTGCTTTGATGGGAGACTGGACCGTAGGTTTTATGAAACTTCTTTATCTGTGTTTTGAACAGGACATTTTGGGGGCGCAAGGTGAGTGATGGCCAAACTGCATGAAATTTTCCTGTTCTTACCGCAGTTAGCACTGAGGTTTGGGTTTCAGAAGGTAGCGTAGCAGGAGGCAGTGAGAGTTCATCAGGAGCCCTGAGCAGGACATCTGGTCAGTTCTGCGGCGCAGGTAATCCCCACGGATGAGGTCCAAAGGCTGCGAGCCCCCAAGGATCTCAGGGAGAACGTCTGTGCCTGTTCATTGAGCTACAACAGACCGTGGTAGGATGTTACCTGGGAAGTACATTCCTTTCCATAGCCACAGGCCAAACACTGCCCCTTTTCCCTGTTCACAGCAATCTGTAAATGAAAGCTGCAGAGAAGGTTGTCATCCAGGGGGCTGATGTAACTGTTTGAGCAGTGTTTGAAGGGGGAAAATGAGAAGAGCTAAGGGTTGTACAGCAGAAAACACACTTCAAGAAGCATCTTTTACTGCAGTCTTGTTTAGTGGAGATGGGGCCTGTGTATTTGGAGTTTAATTTTTGTTACATGATATTTGACAGCAAATAGAACAAAGGTACTTTAAAACCACATTAGTTTGAATCATATACATTAATTCAAATAGTTATTTTATTAAAAAATGACCTATGAAGTAACTTCCAAATACTATGTGTTGCACCTGAATATAAATGAAACTAGAGTGCACAAAGGCACTTTAATACTCTGGGAATTGTACTGGAAGGTAAATGAAAGCATGTGAAATTGCACCTGATGTTGTTGTGTTCATTGTTTTTAAAATCAAATTCTACATTAATTATGCTTGATGGATGAATGTATCTAGTCTAGTGTGGTCTCAGTTTCTTCGATCCAAGTGTCTAAAGCCATCACTCGATCTTCTCTAATTTGTATGTGTTTGTAATTTCATTTGCTATTTTTTGCCATTATTGGACTGCAGGGGGAATTGTTAATATTACATGTGTTTATTTTATAGAACATTGTACTACACTATCTACCAACTTTTGTAACTTATAAGTGATATTTAGGGTAATTCTAATAGCTGTATATTTGGCAAATTATTAAAATTTTCTGCAAGTGACTTGCAAGTATAATTGGTTTCTTTTTAATACAGGAAGACTGTTTAGAAAGTTTTCTTGAATGTACCTGCACTGGTTAATTCTTTTTTCTTTCTACAGTTTTCTGTGTGCTATATAATGCGTGTTTACCTTGGATTTACCAGTTTTGCTGTACCACCCTATTTTTGGCATGGCATCCATTGCTATTGTTTGTTGGAAATACCTGCCTCGATACAGTGTCATCTCTATAAAATGAAAAAACATCCAACTCCATACACAAAAAAGAAACTCAAACAGAACTTGGTTTTTGAACTAAAGTCTGCATTGCTATGTTGCATGAGAATTGTTGGTCAACGTATTCGATCTCCATAGCTGCCCACCAGTCTTTTTCCTAAAACCTTCCTCCTTACTAGGAAGTGCTTCTCTGAATGGAAAGAGGATTGGAAAAGACCAAGTCATCCCTTTAATGGAGACACAGGAAAAAAAAAAAAAAAATTCGTAAGTTTGGGTCAGTTCAGGCCTCGGTGAGCAACTAGGAAATGGCTATTTTACTCCAGAAGAATTTAACCTCAAGACTACCGTTAATGTTTGATTGAAAGCTGTGAAAATCACATTAAGGGTGTTAAAGTTGACAAGTTTTCTCCTTGTCCTGTCAGAAGAGGGTGAGTGGTTGGGCAGCGAAAGGAAGGCAGGGAGAAAATGTGGAAAACCAACACTTTCCATTTGCGTTCTGGGTTGTAAAGCAGGATCCTCTGAGTTGTCCTGAAAGAGGATGTAGTCTGACCTGCGTATGAAAGAATTTACTGCTGTGTTGAAGTAGACGTGAGTTATTGATTTGCAGATGTGAAAACTAAATTAATGAACTGAGGAGCATCATGGTTTTAATTATATTGGAACAGTTGGTGCCAATTAATAGTAGTTTCCAGCTAAGGGATGCTTGTGAACAGTGCCTGCAGTTATTTTGGAATATAGAGCATAGCAGTCTTATTTTACACCATACATTTGAGTGAATGAATTGTTTATGCAGGACATCCATATCTAAAATTTCCATAATCCTTTAAACTCATCCTGGAAAACACTTAA